TTTTTTTTTTTTTTTTTTTTTTTTTTTTTTTTTTTTTGTTTTTTTTTTTTTTTTTTTTTTTTTTTTTTTTTTTTTTTTTTTTTTTTTTTTTTTTATGGAAGAGGTCAAGAGTTCTGTTTATCTTGCTAAAAAAATCCCTGGAATTCCTCCTGGCCCTTCCTTAAATATAACAAAGAGGCCAGGTTACTCCCCATGGGGAGAGCTGGCAGCTCCGTCTGGGAAGGAGAGGAGACTCCAGAGGGTGCCCACAAAGCTTCCCCAGGGAAGGGTCAGATTTCTGGAGACAGTTTTACCCTGGATTTGGGAGCGCATCACTTTCCAAGCCTGTCTCTAAGGCTGCTCCGGAAGGAAGGCTGGCCTGGGAATGAGGCTGGAAGGAGGAATCTAGCTCCGTGTGTCTGGAAAAAGGCAGTGAGAGGTCTCAGCAGGAAGCAGAAATCCCTGGAAGGATCCTCATTTCACTTTTCCACACTTCCCAATGGGAGGAGTTTTCCAATTCCTGGTTGGGCCCTTCAGCCTCGTTAGTCAGTCCCTGCCTGGGTGTCCCGAGGCCAAAGTCCAGAGTCTGGTGGCTCCTGCTTAGGGAAGCAGCCTAGAATGATCCAGCAGATCCTTCTCTGCATTCCCAGAGCCTGTGCCTGGCTTGGTCACTCCCTGGATGTGTTTTCCATCAGTTTGTCCACACTGGAGTGTGGAGAAACTCTGTCTTGCACTTTAAACCCCTGGAAAGCCACTGTTCCTTCCCACTCCTCAGTTTCCTCACATCCCAGGGGTCAGTCCCACATTCCTGCCGAGATCTTAGTGTCCTGTGGGGACACTGGGAGGTGCGGATTGATGCATCCATCAGGGAATGGCTGGGAAAACAGATGAGCTTTGTCCAGGTGAGCAAAAAGGGGGATGAAGGCTGGAGAGGGACTTCGGAGTGCCAGGACAAGAGGGAATGGCTTTCCACTGTCAGAGGGCAGGGATAAATGGAATACGGGGAAGAAATTCTTCCCTGTGAGGGTGGTGAGGCACTGGAATGGATTTCCCAGAGAAGCTGTGGCTGCCCCATCCCTGGAAGTGTCCAAAGCCAGGCTGGCATGGCTTTGGTATCCAGTTCCATACAGAGGGAGGAGAAATGTGGGATCCCATTTGAATGTCCCTTTTTACTTATTTAAATTTAGGGCTGGAAGTCTCCTCCTGGTTAAACTGAAATATTTTAAGCCCCTTCCCATAGATCCTCCCTGGTGATGCTGGGTGGGTTCAGGTCATTCCTATCTCTTCTCTCTGTTGTTGTCCCTGCAGAATCTGGGGATCCTGGAATGGTTTGGGTTGGAAGGGGCCTTAAACACATCCCATTCCAGCCCCTGCTGTGGGCAAGGAAATCTTCCACTAGTCCAGGTTGCTCCAAGCCCTGTCCAACCTGGTCTTAGATTTATTAAGCAAAGTTTAGGTGCTTTTTCTCCAGCTCTGCATTCCCAGGAACAGATTTTGGAGTTGCCAACCTTTGGAGCTTTGCCCCCTGCTGTGTCTCCTTGCTCCCTGCACTTCCTCCGGGAATACTGTGCCTGATGGGTTTTCTCTTGGAAGGGAAATCCAAAGCTAACACAAAAGCTACCTAGCAATTCCTAAAGGGAATTTCTGGGGATATGCTTTTACTGCAGAGCATCCACGGGAGATTTAGCAAATCTCAGGAATGTTTGTGTCTTTGTCACACAATCATCCAATCCTGGAACGATGTGGTTGAAAGGGATTTTAAGGATCATCCAGTTCCAACCCCCTGCTGTGGGCAGGGACACCTCCCGCTGGAACAGGCTGTTCCAAGTCCCCTTTGACTTGGAGATCCAAGATAAATGGGTCAGTGCTGGGTCTGGGATCAGGACACCCCTCACTGTGATTCTTCCTCTCTCTAGATCCTCACCTCCTCCGGACCATGACTCCTGAAAACATGTGCCACATGACTCCTCCTTCCCACCTGGAGCATCCTCCTCCTCCTCCTCCTCCCCCTCCCCCTCCTCCTCCCCACCTCCAGGGTCCACCCCCGCCACCCCCTCACCCCCTCCAGCCACAGCACAGTTCCCACTTTCCCGGCCTCCAGCGGGACATGTTCCTGAAGGCCGAGCCCCTGATGCCTCCGTACGGGATCGGGCCAGGAATGGTGCCAGCTGAGCTCCACCACGCCCAGCAATCCCAGATGCTGCACCAGCTCCTCCAGCAGCACGGAGCAGAGTAAGGCCTGGGGATGGTGGGAAGGCGGGAATGGGGATGAGGGGATGGGAGCAGGAGGTTTGTGCAGTGTCCAAAGTGTGGGGTGTGACTGGGAGTTGGGTGGTGGGAATAAACAAGGGGAAATCTAGGGAAGGAGTCCCTGCCCGTGGAAAGGGGTTGGAACTGGATAAACTTTAAGGTCCCTTCCAACGCAAACCATTCTGGAATTCTGTGGAATTATGGATGTGGCCCAGAGCTTGGCAGTGTGGGAGAAGGTGGGGCAGCACTGTGGGAATGTTTTGGGGTTCTTTGTGAGATCCTGCTTGTGCCAGTGGCGCGATGTGGAGCTTCCCAGCTCAGCCTTTCCCATGTCTCTCCACAGGCTCCCGGTGCATCCTGCCAAGAAGCGAAAACACTCCGAGTCCCCCTCCAACACCCTCAATGCCCAGATGCTCAATGGGATGATCAAGCAGGAGCCAGGAATGGGATCGGTGCCGCTCAATCCCGACCGAGTCCAGACTCCTCCCTGGCACCAGCCGGGCGCTCTCTCACCAGGTACCCCTTGATCCCACTCCTCTTTGTCCTCCTGGAATGTCAGTTCTGGATCTGCTGTCCTGGCAGTCAGGAGGGAAAACTCCAGGCAGTGCTAGTCGCTCCCTTGGGCTTCCACCCTGCTGGACATTCATTCCAATGATTAAAGTTGGGATCCTAAGGAGTTTTACCCCCTCCCCATAGGGCTGATCCAGGATAATGACAGTTTGAATGGATCCTACCTGGATCCCAACTTCCAGTCCATCAAGTGGCAGCCACACCAGCAGAACAAGTGGGCAACTCTCTATGATGCCAACTACAAGGAGCTGTGAGTAATCCCTCTGCCTCTGGAAAAAGTGGAATTCGCATTCCATGTGTCTGTGGTGAGCCACTGGGGTTGGGAATATCGTATTCACAGTGTGGAATGAGGATCTCCCTGGGTTTGTCCTTGTCCTCTCAGCTGTGCTGGGGGCGGGTACTCCCCACCCCATACCTTTCCCATTGGGAAAGTCGCTCCTCCACACTTTTTATGGATGATTAAGGAATAGCAGAAGGGATTTCAGCCACCACTCAGATCTTGGAAGGTTTTTATTGGCAAATCCAGGATGGTTTGGGACAGCAGCTCCTTTTCCCCCTTCCCAGCCTTTCCAGGATTTTAAATTTAGGATTGGGAATTCCCAACCAACATGTAGCTTGGATGGCTGGAGAGAATCCAGATCCACTTCAGCGCAGCGTGGAAAGGAGCTGGAGGAGGAGAGGTTGTGGAAAGCTGGGAAGTGGCAGAGAGGCTGGAAAAGGAAGGCTGGGATCACTGCGGCAGTTGGGGAGCAGAGAGTGGTGGGAAGGTGGGCTGGGAATTGAGGGAGAGGAGGGTGGAGGCAGCATATGGAGCAGCACTGTATAGGAGGAGTGCTGAGGAGAAAATGGCTCTGGATCCTCCCTGCATTCCTGGGAGGTGACCAAACACTGGCAAGCACCAGGATGTCTTCCAGGAACCTCTCCCCGAGCAACAGGATCCCCCCCTTCCCTCCCAATTCCCCCTCTTCCTGCACAGCCAGGGGCTGTGGGATCCTGTGGGGAACGGGAGGAGGGAACGCTCCAGTGCCTGTGGATAACCCTGACTGTGATCCCAGCATACCTGGATGGTGCTGGGAATGGGAGCCAAGGATCCCAGGTGTGGGGGCAGAGTGCAAATCCCAGCTTTCCCTCACACTGCTTCCATCTCCCATCCCATCCATCCATTTCCTGTCCCAAGCATGTCCCAGTTGTCCCAGACCGTTTCCAGGTGTTGCTATCTCAGTTCCAGAAATTCTCCATTCACACAGGTGGATTGATGGAGACATATCCCATGGTATTTTCTGGGCACAGGGAAGTTGCTGGAAAACTGCTACAACCCCAGCCCTGCTCTTTGGATCTTGGGATTGCTTCCCTAATCCCTGCTTTTGGGATTTAGGGCGAAAGCCAGAGCACACCCACTCCTGGGGCTTTGAGGTCCATCATCCCGTTGTGTAAGGAATAAATTTCTTTTGGAGTGACTCCATGGAATTTGAGAGAGCCACGTGGGCTTTGTTGTGGCGCCGGATTGGAGCAGAATTAAGGGGTGAAGGTTGATTGATTATTTTTAGGTCCAGTTTCCCTTCTCCATGACGAGCCAGGTGGCTCCAGGAGAGCTGGATCTACATCTCTTTTTACGTTGAATGTCCCTTATTCTCCTGGAACAGCACTTTTCTGGAATACTCCATGAGAAGCACCAAAAATTCCCTCTTCCTTTCCTCCTATAATGGGATTTTCTTAGGTTGGTTAATCCAAATTTAGCAGGCGGGAATCATCTCCTTCCTTTCTGCTTTCAGGTGTCCTCAGCAGTAGGAAGATCTCTTCCAGATCCATAATTATTCCCACAATTTAGTTTTCCTTGGAGATCATAAAGCCAGGATCAGCTGTTCCTGCTCCAGTTTCTCCTGGCAGTTATTCCCCAGTCTCCATGTGCTGTTTGAGTTCCTTGGGATCCAGTGCTTTTCATAGTCTGAGGAGTGCAAATCATCTGAATTATCTGATTTTACCTCTTCTTTATCCCAAGAAAAGAGTTCAGGAAGGAGGTGAAGGATGTGGGAAGCTATCCAGGTTTTTACCAGATTCTCAGTAGCGATTCCAGGGGCAAAAAGTAAAGTTAAATGTAATTCCATGTTCTTTTGCACACAAAAAATGAGGTTCCACAGGGGGATGGGATAGAGATTAGTTCCATTCCGGGCTCAGGTCTCAGGCTTTGCCAGGGAATCTTGAAGGAGCCCACAAATCCCTGGATTAATTTTATGGATAATATATGATTTTTCTTTGGCCCTTTGCACTGATTTTTGTGGGTTTGGATTCACTGAACCTTCCCAGGGATGAGCTGTTCTCCAGCAGCAGTGTCAGGGAGGCCTGGAACTGGGTGATTCCCTAATTTACTCCCGGGAGAAGGAGTCATTCATATCTCCCTGACAGCAGGCTCCGATAAATTCCAGCTCCCTCCTCCCTCTCCCAGGCTTGTTACAGCTTGAGGGAAGGCAGCTGGGAATAGTTCACCCCTCCATGGAAACATCTATATGTTGAGGCCTAGGGTCTTGGAATTCCCAGCTTGGAGATCAGGAATGTGCTTTTCTCTTCCCGTCAAGCAAACTGGTGCTTTCCATGGGGCTCCCACACAGGGAGCTAATCCCAAGTTTTTGGACCTCCACCCCTTGCTTGGGAGAACCATCAGGATAAACAGCTCCAAACTTGCCCTTGCTGGATCCTGGATCTCAGGGAGGGAATGGAGAGCCTGGGATGTGGTCCAGACCTACTGGATGTGTTTTGGGATAGGTGGCACAGGGTGATGGATCGTGGACGCATCCCAGGAAGCTGGAGGGACCACATAAGGTGGATGCACAGGTGGGACTGTGTGGGAGGGATGACAATGGTTCCTCTATCCCTGTGTTTGTGTCCTGGAAGTGAAAGAAGTTGGGGAATACATGGAATTAGTGAGTGGTCCTCGAATGAGGGGACTCCCGATATTCTGTTTTAGTTGAGATATTGGGGAATTGGGAAGGAAAGGGAGAAATTAGGGATTTTTGTGCCTCGGAGGAACAAAGTAAGGAATGTGAGCATCCTGCTCATGGCCAACATCCTAATACAATTCCCTGGGGGGAGTTTGTGACTCCTCACTCAGATCAGGAAAAACCTCCTCTCCTGTGATCCTGCCCTTCTGTCCTGCCTTAATCCGCCTCTACCAGTGGGAGTGTTTGGGATAAAGCAATCCATAGGGATAAAGCAATCCATTTGACCCCAGACTTTTTATTCCTGACACTTTGCCCTCTGGCCCCTGTGCTCTCCCTGGAAAAGGCTTTGGCTGCTCCCAGGACATGGGTTTGTCTGTGGCTGATGTCATCCCTAATCCCAGGAAATGCTTCTCACTTGGGATCTCCTGCTTTTCCTTCTCCTACCACCCCATTCCCATCCAGAGAGCTGGGAATACCTTGCCTGGGAGCAGCTCCTCAGCTCAGCCAGAAGTGCTGGAGATCCCTCTGGAAAGAAGTGTCTTCTCTCCTATCAATCCCAGCACGAGCATTTGGGGAATGACACAGCCACCAGGAAAATGAGAAAGTCGGTGAATAGGAGCCTCTGGAAGGGGACTGTGGAAGACCAGGGATTTCCAGGAGGCAGAGGAGGAGGAGCCCGCCTATCTCCCCTCTGTCAGCACATGTTTAGCAGCCGTCGTTTTGGAAGTTTGGGAAGCATCCATAGCTTGGAAGTTGGGACAGACCTTCCTCTCCTTGGCTTTACCTGTTAAGATACAATGGGAATAGGTGTGAACACTCAGGAGCCAGGAATGGGATGATCACGGAGGGTGCTCAGGCCAGCTCCAATGAGGAATATCCAGATGGAGAATCTGGGAGGAGGCCAAGGAATTCCTTTTGTGCCTCTGGGCTAAGGCAGAACTCTGCTCCCACAGTCTGGTTTGTGTTCCAGAGCAAAGCATGGCATTCCCAGGTCCCTGGGGTGTAAGGAGGGAGTAGTTATTCATGGCCATCCCAGGGTTACTCCTGGCAGCCTGGAATCATGCTCAGGTCTCATCCACATTATCCACCCAGGTGTTCTGGGGGGAGAATGGCTTTATTCCAGAAAAAAAAGGAAGGAATACCAGGGCAGAATCCCTATTTTCTGCATCCCAGAGTCTGCCACATTCCTTACTGCTGGTCTGTCCACCTCCCCTCCCGTTGCTGCAGGCAGAAGTCAGGAGTGATTTGTTTTTTAGGGAAAAGTGCTCCTTAATATCTCATTTTAAGGATATGTCTCATATCCAAGGCTGGGGTGAGCTCCCTCTTTACCTCATCCTTAATTCTGTTCTGTGGGATGAGAGGCAGCTCCTTCCCCCCTTCTGAGGGCCCACCAGCCCAGGTCTGGAATTTTTGGACGGTGAGGAAAAGGCTGCATATTTCCCTCATTCCCATGGAAACCAACCCATTAAAGAGATGTAGATTAAACCTTTCCGGCTGGTGTGTGTCCATGGAGCAGCCAGGACTCCTCCTCCTCCTCCTCCTCCTCCTCCTCCACACTGAGAATGCCATGGGATGTGGGACACCCCCAGGTCAGCCTGAGCTGCTTCTCCCAGCATTAAGGGGATTCTCCAGGCTTTGGGAAGGCTGTGGAGCTTGGTATCTCCATATTCCCTCCCAGTGGAAGAACTGTAGGACAGTTTGGGTTGGAAGAGACCTTATGGATGATCCCGTGCCAATCCATTGCCCAGGTTGCTCCAAGCCCCATCCAACCTGGCCAAGAACACTTCCAGGGATGGGATATCCACAAATTTCCCTGGGAAACCTTTGGATCGCCTCCTGGCCTCACTGCTGCTCCCTTTTCCCAGCCCGATGCTCACATACCGCGTGGACGCTGACAAGGGATTCAACTTCTCCGTGGGGGATGACGCCTTCGTGTGCCAGAAGAAGAACCACTTCCAGGTCACGGTGTACATTGGAATGCTGGGAGATCCCAAGTATGTGAAGACCCCCGAGGGCCTGAAACCCCTCGAGTGCTTCTATCTGAAGCTGCATGGAGTGAAGGTGAGCAGGAGCTGAGGGTGAGAGTGAATCAAACCGGGAGAAGGAGGGGAACCGTGGAATCACTGAGGCTGGAAAAGCCCTTTAGGATCATTGAGTCCAAACTGTTCCCCCAGCACTGCCAAGGCCACCCCAAACCATGTCCCCAGGTGCCACATCCATATGGATTTAAAATGCCTCCAGGAATGTGGAATCCACCACCTGAACCTGTTCCAATGACCACCCTTTCCATGAAGGAATTTTTCCTAATATCCAGTCTAAAAATCCCCTGAACCACTGGAATACAGGTCCTGTGAGAGAGATGAGAATGGTTCCTCTATCCTGGTGTTTGTATCCTGGAAGTGAAAGAAGTCGGGGAATACATGGAATTAGTGAGTGGTCCTTGAATGAAGGGTCTCCTGATATTCTGTTTTAGTTGAGATGTTGGGGAATTGGGCAGTGACACTCAGTCACTTCCTGGGCATTTCAGGGCTGGCTATCTCTCACCTTTGATTCCAGAGGTACATGGCAACTTTGGGAAGATCCTTCCACCCTCAACTTTCCCCCTTCCAAGGGCGATTCCCATGTTTGGGCAGTGCCCACACTCTGGGTTGTACCAAGTCATGGGAAGGTGGGCAGAGAGCTGGAAATGAGGAGGTGAGAAGGGGAAGGTAGGTCTCTGTGCCCTGTGTCACATTCCCAAATCCTTATCTCCAGCTCGAGGCCCTGAACCAATCCATCAATATCGAGCAGTCGCAGTCGGATCGCAGCAAACGGCCCTTCAACCCCGTCACGTGAGTGTGTCTGTGTGGGAACCAGCATCCTGTGTTTCCAGGGAATAACAGCATGAGAAGGTGGGGAAAGGGGCAAAGTCAGAGTCTTGCGTTCCACTGGGTCGTTGCCACACTCTCCAGTTCTCCCCTGTTTTCCTCTCTTCACATTCTCAACTCTGTGCCCAGTTCACGGACCTGCTGTGCTGGAGTAGGCCAGGAGATGGCCATTCCCAAAAAACCCTCCTCTCCGGGTTCAGGTTCTGGCCTTTCCACACCTGGTTCCTCAGAGCACCCTCAGGGCATGCGGGAACCTGTTGCAGATCCCAAGGTTGGGCCCGTGTCCAGTGGACCGTTGGGAAAGATCCAGTAGACTGAGAGAATGTTGGGAACTTGGGCTCTGCAAGGTATAGGAAAACTGGGTACCTTTCCACTTTTTGCACGTCCTTAGGCAGAGGAGCAGGAAGAAATAGGCAGCATTCCCAAATAGGCACCATCCTCACTCAGTCCTCTGTTTTTCTTCCCTTCCAGGGTCAACTTGCCCCCAGAGCAGGTCACCAAGGTCACCGTGGGGCGGCTACACTTCAGTGAGACCACAGCCAACAACATGCGGAAAAAGGGCAAACCCAACCCAGACCAGAGGTGAGGGCTCCGGAATATCCTGAGCGTTCTGTGGATCTGCCTCTTCCTGGCCCAGGAAGTGTGTCCAGAGGGAGGAGGACATGGGGGACAAGGCCTGGATTGGCCGTCCTTGGGCACAAGAAGGGTCTGCCCTCTCTGTGGGGAGCACAAGGGGAGGGGATGTTCCGAGCTCACCATGGTGTTCCAAAGGGAATGGAGATCCAGAACTTTTCCTAGCATGTTTCCCTAACTTTTCTCCCTTCTCAGGTACTTCATGCTGGTGGTGGCCCTGCAGGCACATGCCCAGAACCAGAACTACACACTCGCTGCCCACATTTCTGAGCGGATCATCGTCCGGGTAAATCCCTGTCTCCTCCCTCCGGCACCCCACAGTCCCTTGCTGGCCATCTTCCACCTTCCAAAAACCTGTGGATGTGGCACTTGAGGTGGTGGTTCAGTGGTGAGTGTGGGATGGTTGGACTAGATGATTTTAGAGGGCTTTTCCAGCATCGTTCTCCCACTTTCCCCCCCCCTTCTCCAAACTCCTCCTGCATTGTTTGTAGCATTCCAAGTCCACATTTGGGTTCGGGCTCCAGCCTTTCCACACCTGCTTCCTCAGGGAACCTGTTGCAGATTCCAAGGTTGGAGCAGTGTCCAGTAGACTGTTGGGAATTAGGGAAGAGAGCAGCTGGGACTCTGCAGCAGGGACAAGCATTTCAGGTGCAGGAAAACTGGGTACCTTCCCACCTCTTGCATGTCCTGAGGAAAAGAGGATTCCCAGGAGGAATTGCAGGCAACTCAGCTCAACCTGCACATGGGTCACAGAACCCCACAGAATTTGAGAGGCAGAAGCATCATCCACATCACTTGGTCACCTGCTGTCCTGGAACAGCTCTGGGATAACAGCTCTAAGGAAGCAAAGATATTCCTTTAGGAGAGGAGCAGGAATAGCCTTGGTTCCTCGGGCCAGCAGGTAAAAGCCAAGGCTGCCAGGATGGGCTGGGATCCATGCCCAGATCCATTCCCAGTGGATCCCTGCCATGCCACTCTGTCTTGTGCTGGGCAAAGCTCTGTATGGCACCTCCATGACCCTCCTTGTCCTCTCCTGGCTCTGTCCTCCCACCTATCCCATTCCCTGCTGACCCTCCTGTGGGGCTGGCACTGTAATTCCATGTGCTGCAGGCTGGAGGGAGCCCAGGGACCTCACAGACAGCTCCTCCCAAAAACCCCCTCCCACTTCTCAGGCGAACATCCCCAAGATCTCTGCTTCCCAGTGCTCCTTTCCCTACTTTTTCAGCCCCTGCTTTCCTGCTTTTCTGCAGGCTTCCAACCCGGGCCAGTTTGAGAGCGACAGTGACGTGCTGTGGCAGCGGGCGCAGCTCCCGGACACCGTGTTCCACCACGGCCGTGTCGGGATCAACACGGACCGCCCCGATGAGGCCCTGGTGGTCCATGGGAACGTGAAGATCATGGGCTCCCTCATGCACCCGTCGGACGTCCGGGTGAAGGAGGACATCCAGGAGGTGAGACCTTGGAAAACAGGGTGGGATCTGGGGTGAAGGTACACCACGGGAAACGGGAATGTCATCCTGAGCCTGTTTTAGCTGCTGGTTTCCATCAAATCCTAATGGATAATGTGAGCTCCTGTGGGAGTCCAACTCTAGGCCTACAGGAGTTGGACTCAATAATCCTTTATGGGCCCCGTGCAGCTCAGGATATTCCATGATTAGGGGACTGTTGATCAGATAGGAAGTGCCTCAGAATTCCCTCTGTCCCATACCTAGCCTGTCCACCACGTCCTAGGGAATACTGACTCCCCCAGTGTTAGACAGAACTGGCAAACACAGTCAGAAAAAAGGTGGAAAGCAGCTGGAAAATACATGGGAACAGGTGACTATGGCAGGCACCATCCTGGGCCTTGCCAGAGGGCTCTGCTCTGAATTCCTATCAGCTGGATTTGCCTGTCCAGAAAAGCTGGATACATTCATGCCACATATTTTCAGGAACTGCCTCCACTCTGTGTCTGTTCCTGCAATGAGACTCACTCTCTTCCTGGCTTCCCTACTCCAGGAATTTATCCAGTGACCAGAACTGGAGATTTATCCCAGTGCTGGTGCTGTTTGTCCCAGTGACTGCTCCAAGCAAGATTCCCATCTCCCACAGGAATTCCCATGAGCCACAGTGGGTTTTCCTGCCTGGACTCATGGGGGGATTTAAGAAGCAACGCTCCCTTGAGGAGTTCCGTGTGCCTGTTTTTTTCCCAGGTGGACACCACAGAGCAGCTGAAGCGGATCTCCCGGATGCGACTGGTGCACTACAACTACAAGCCGGAGTTTGCGGCCACGGTGGGGATGGACAACACCTCTGAGACAGGTATATCCCACGGGAATATGCCTCTGAGGCAGGAATGTCCCACGGGAATTCCCTACCTTTCGTAGGGGCTATATCCAGTTCTGCTCTGCGTGTGAGGTGGGCAAGAGGGGGGCTCTCACCTCTGGAATTAAGGAATCCAATGAAATTCCCTCCTTAGTGAGGGGGAGAGAAAGTGGCACTTCCTACAGGGAAGAGGTTTCTCCAGGTATCCACCTCTCTTTGGGAGTACAGGTAGATCCCACAGCGGGTTGATGATCCCTGTCCATTGAATTTGGGGATAAGTAGGTGGGATGGGCCCTTCACCTTCCCACCTTCACCCCCTCCCCGTGCTCTCTCCACATGTCCCCAGGTGTCATCGCTCAGGAAGTTAAGGAAATCCTCCCGGAAGCTGTGAAGGATACCGGAGACCTGGTCTTTTCTAATGGGAAAACCCTGGAGAACTTCTTGGTGGTGAACAAGGTTGGTGGCAGCCGGGAGGCTGGGGAGCCCAGCTCCAGGAGATGGGTATGGAATGCAGTGCCTGGAAAATGCTCCTGGCATCACCCAGATGAGTTTCAGGCCTGGCTGCAATTCCAGAAGTCGGGAATAGCCCTGGGTGGGTGTTGGACCCGAGCAGGGAGGGAAATTTGGCAACATCTCCCCTGGGAAGGGCTCCCTGTTGGCAGCTTCCTGTAGGGAGTCTCCTGGTCCTAATCTCCCCTTTCTGGATAAGATAAGGTGCTCATGTCAAGATAAGCCAGAGCACCTGGTCTCCTGACCTTTCCTAACCTATCTGCTGCTCTGGGAATCACCTCCTATGTCCCACATGGATGGGGACAGTCTCCCATGTCACACCCAGAGGGTTGGGGAGATCCAGATGGTCTGTGCTGGCTGACTCCAGTAGCCTTTCCTGCATGGTGTGGGAGAGCAGTCAGGGTGGCCACATCCAAGTGTTCCTCTGGCTGTCAGGCCACTCATCCTGATTCCCTGGCAGGAGCGGATCTTCATGGAGAACGTGGGGGCTGTGAAGGAGCTGTGCAAGCTGACGGACAACCTAGAGACCCGGATCGATGAGCTGGAAAGGTGGAGCCACAAGCTGGCCAAGCTCAAGAGACTGGACAGCATGAAGTCCACTGTGAGCTCCGGAGCCTTCAGGTACAGCCAGAGTCAAGGAATGGCCCCTTGGATCCCAGGAAATTCTCAGTGGCAGCTTGGATTGGGAAGTGGGAGATGGGGAGGGTGGTGGGATGTTGGCTCGTGTCACTTGGGGTTTAAGGAGCTTGAGGCTGGGGAGGTTTGACGTTCCCAAAAACACCCCGGATGGAATTGTCTCCAATTCCAATTGTCTGCTGTTTTCTCATGGCAAAGAGTTTCCCGTGCTTCCAAAATCCTCCATCCTGACCCTGCTTATGCAGGTTTTGGGACAGAACTGGGGCTCTCTGGCAAAGCCCCCAAATGGTTTGTGACTGTCGTGCCACACAGAGGGTTTGTTCCCTACTGGAAAATCCCATTTTTCCCTGGGAATGGCTTGGAGAGCAATCCCTGACCAGCTCAGCTCCATTCCTCCTTTTTCCTTGCAGCCAAACAGGGAGCCAGTTCAGCCGAGCGGGAAGTGTTCCCCACAAAAAGAGACCCCACAAAGTGGCCACCAAGGTAAGAGATGGATCCCAAAGGAGTAGTGCTGGGTGGCAGGAGCTGGGAGGGCTCATCCTGGAGAAAAGGAGGATCAGGGGGCCCTTAACTCTTTCCACAATTCCCTGACAGGAGGGTGGAGCTGGGTGGGATTGGGGGGAATCTGCTCCCAGGTGACAGGATGAGAGGAAATGGCCTCATGTTGCACCAGGGGATATTTAAGTCGGATATCCAGGGAAATTCCTTCATGGAAAGGGTTGTCCAGCTCTGGCACAGGCTCCAGTGGTAGAGTCCCCATCCGTGGAGGGATTTAAAATCCCTGTGGATGTGGCACTAGGGGATGTGGTTTAGTGGTGCCTATGGAGTGGTTGGACTCTGTGATCCTAGAGGGCTTTTCCAACCTTAGTGATTCCATGACACTCCTTTTGTCTGTGTCTAATGGGGGTGTTAAATGGCTTCTGAACTGGGGAGAGTTCAGGATTTCCAGGGAGCAGGAAGAGAGCTCAGGATGGGCTGGGGGAGGTCCGTGGGAGCAATCTGAGCTGATCCAAGGGTTCCTGAGCTGATCCAGGGGTTTTCTCCTTGCAGTCTCCGTCGGTTGTCCCAGAACAGGCCTGCATCAGCCAGCGCTTCCTGCAGGGCACCATCATTGCCCTGGTCATCATCATGGCATTCAGGTGATTCCCAAGGCCTGGGATGATCCTCCTCCCTTGTCTCCCTCAGGTTGATCCATCTGGGCTGTGCCACCCATGGGGGGTGCAGTGAGGGGCTTTTTCCATGGAATCCTGGAATGCTTTGGGTTGGAAGGGACCTTAAAACTCAACCAGTTCCAACCCGGACACCTTCCAACACCCCAGATTGCTCCAACCTGGCCTTGGATGCTTCCAGGGAGGGAGTAGCCATCTTTCATGGGTTGGAATCCCTTGGAAGCAGATTGATTCTGTGACATATTCTTACTCCATGTCTCTCCTCAGCTCTTCCCTCTCTGTTTTCCAGTGTCGTGTCCATGTCCACACTGTATGTGCTGAGCCTGCGCAGTGAGGAGGATCTTGTGGATATCGATGGGTGGGTATTTTTGGGAACCACTGAGAAGGGATGAGGGGCCCTGGGAGAGGCTGAAGCACAAAAACCAGATGCCCTGGTGTTGTGGAGCACAATTCCAGAGGGGCAAACCCAACCTGACATGTGCACACAGCCCAGTCCGGTGTTGGTTGAATTCTCTGGAGCGAGAAATGAGGAATAGAGAAGGAAAAGGGAATACCCTGTTTGGCTGCTCACAAATCCACTCGCAGCCAGGCTTGATGTTCCTTGGATGCCTCCGGCCTCATCCCGCTGGTTCAGTCGGACTGGACCAGCTTTGGGAGCTCCTGTGACCTGATAATGAGTCTCTTTTTCTCTCCCTCTTTTCCCTGTCCCATTTTTCTCCCTCCTCTCCTGCTTCCATCTCCTCATCCAACCCGTTTTCCTTCTACTTTATCTTTGATTTTCCCCATTTTTGTCTTTTTCTTCCTCTTATCTTCCATATCTTCTTTCATTCCCTGTCCTCTTGGGCATATTTCCACTTTTCCTCTTCTCCTTGTGTCCCTTGCTGTCCTGTAGCTCCTTTGCTGTGCCCACTGCCTGTCTCCTGGCCCTCTTCCGGCACGGGGGTCCCAGAATTCCGATCGCTCTGTGTCCACGGTATGTGACTGTTTCATTATCCCGTTATTTCTTCTCTTCATTCCTCTTTTGTTTCCCTGCCATCTGCATCCTAGGAGACTGAAAAACTGAAGCAAAACTAAAAGCAGAGAAATGGATATGAGACTTCAGTGGAATTCCAGGAGGAAGGATTGCGGACCCTGTTAGGCAGGGGAAATTAGAGTTAGGAGATGGAAAAATCAATTCATTCAAGGTTAAATAAGGAAATTACATCCTGCAAGTAAAGCAAGATAAAGCCACACATGGAAAAGGTGGATGAGGCAGTGGAAGGACATGAGGGATAAGGGTTGGATTTTGATGGGATGAAGGTGAAGCTCTGCATTCCGTCCAGGAGACCGGCATTGAGTCTCCTTTCACCTGGAAAAGAAGTCCCTGTAATAAAATAAATCTTGCAGGGAACAAAGTGGGGTTTTGATTTCGCCCAGGGTGGGAAGCTCTGTTAATCCCTGGGAAACCTGGAGTGGTGCTTGGGAACAAGGTAAGACATGGACACAGGTGCCCAAAAGCTCTGCAGACTTGGGAGAGAGATTTCCCTCCCCTTTCCCATCTCCCTTATCCTCAGGAGATGCCTGTGGTGTCCTCAGCTCAGGTCTTGGATAGCGGCAGTGAAACACCCAGACTTCCACGGGATTAAATGGAGGGGGATTGTGTGTGTTTCTAAAGAACAAGGTGAGGAACAGACAGTCTCAGAGAGATGAGGGGCACATTGCTTAGGGAATGTGACTCCTTGGAGCCTGTTGAGTCCAAGAACCCAAACCCACCCAGGATAGCACTATTGAGAGTGAAATCCACCCTGTTCCAGGACAATCTGGGAGTGCTGCTGCTGTCCTCTGAAGCAACTGGGAATTGTCCTACTGTCCTTGCCAGACATGGGACTGCCATAAAATTCCCTATGGATTTCTGAGCTCTCCTTGCTGTCTTCATGGCTTGTGTGCCTCTCTCCTGCCTTCCCTTTCCCAGATCATTCCACTCTGTCCTCCTCCGTGTCTGCTGTTCCTCTGTGTCCCTCTTCCCATTATTTTGCTGCAGCCTCTTCTCTCCCTTACCTCCAAGCGGCACTGTGGTCCCAATCCAGGTTTTCACCACATCTTCCTGCATTCTAGGTCAAGCCAGAGCATTGACAAGACACAGACGGTGCGATCCACGGCCATGTCCGATGGAGCCGGCAGCAGGAGTCCCCCGGAGCACGGTGGGTGGTGGGTTGGGATTCGGGATGACCAGGGTGGTGTTGCCTTCCCCATCTCATCGTGCTGGGATGGGTCTGCTTTTGTGGAATGGGTGGTGGGACACTGGGTGCTGCTCCTGTTTGGATCCCTTGAGTCATTCCCATATCCCTGCAGTCCCAGAGGACACCCCTGGAGTATCCCTTGGCTCTCCTGGTCGCAGTGTCCTGGCCTGTTTCAGCCCTCCATGTTTTTCCATGTGCTGCTCCACTGTTCCCACCGGCATCTCCTCTGTTGTCCCCTTGGAGACCAACCCCACTCACGGCACCAATAGGACAGGTGAGAGCCATCTCAGATTCCCATAGGTAGTGGGACACCTCCAAGGTTTGTGTGACGTCCTTGTATCTCACCTCCTGCTCCCTGTGGGAAGGTCTCCTCCATCTCCTCCAGGATGAACCGTTCCAGCTCCCTCTCCCCACACCTTCCCTCTAGATCCTTCCTCATCCTTTTTCCCCTCCTCTGGAAGCTCTCTCATGGCTTTATATCCTTCTATTTATATCCTTTATATCTTCTATATATCTTTTATACTATATAGATATCCTTTATATCCTTATCCTTCGTATCCTTCTCTGCCCATGTGCACAGTTCAGACATCCCTGATCCTGCTGCCAGGGGTAAGTTGGGGCTGGAAAGGATTTGGAGGTTCCCACTTTTCCAGCACAAAGTCTCGAGAAGCTCCTCCAGGCTCAACTCACCTGAGCAGCCCTACCTTGAGGTGTGACCTCATTCCCTCTTCATTCCATCCCTGGCACCATCAGGCACAGAGAGAATGGAATCACAAAATCCTGGAAGGGTTTGGATGGAAGGGACCTTAAAGCTCATCCCATTCCATAGGCAGGGACACCTTCCACTAGACCAGGTTGTCCCAAGGCCTGTCCAACCTGTATTTGAACATTTCCAGGGATGGGGCAGCCACAGCTTCCCAGAGCAACCTGGGTAATTCAGGAGGTGACATGGGGAGAGGGTGATCCTGGTGCTCCCACCTGCTCCCAGCCTCTCATCACAACCTTCTCTCCCATTTTTCCGCAGACCAAAGCCAGACCTCCCTCCTTCCAGCAACAAACATCAAAGCCAAATCCAGGGGCATCACCGGGAAATCCTCCTCCTACTCCAAGTGGCCAAAGACTCCTGACAGGTCTCAGAGCTTCGGCAGTCCCAATGCCAGCCCCTCCTCCCCCTTCTCCCACATCCAGGGCAAATCCAAGTACATCTCCAACCTCTCGCTCTCCCGCAGCAACTCCCGGCAGCAGCGCAGCCTCTGGCAGCCGGTGAGCAAGTGGGTTCGCATGGAGCATCCCGGTACGGATGGTACGTGGATCCACCTCCTTTTCCTCCCAGCCATCCTCCCTCGGACGTTTCCGACTGTTCATAAACACATCGTTCCCCCCTCCGACAGGGCCAAGCCCAGTGCTGGAATCCATCCGGATCCTGGAGATCAACCTAGCCATCCATTCCCAGTACTGTGCCACTTCCGACGCCTGCAGGTGAGCAGGAGGGGCTGGCTGGTGGCACTTTGGTGGCAGCAGCACCGTGGGAAGAAGTAAATGGGCAAATCTTGAAGTTTTTTCAAGATTTCCTTGGGTGTTTTCTACCATCGCCTCGTGCAGCTCACACCACTCTATGTGAATTGGAACTGGTGCCCCCAGTGCTTCCCTCAGGGAAAGTGTTTGGCAGTGGGTTCATCCTTGGCAAGATCTCCTGCGTGAATTCTCAGCCCAACAGGGATTTTGGGTGTTATCCCAGCCTTCCCAGAGCCTGGTGAGGTCTCATCCTCTCTCTGTGTTCCCAGGAGTGGAAACTTCAGCTTCCGCATCCCTGTGAACCAGCGGACGGCCGTGGACACCAACCTGACCCTGGAGATGAAGTGAGTGGACAGGGATCCAAAGGAACATCCTTTGGGTGTTCCAGTGCCCCCAGAGGGGCTGGACACTGATGTGGCCATGGTGTCTCCCTGGGGAAGGGGCAGTGGATGTTCCCCCTTTCCAGGCTCTCATTGTGTCCTCTCATCCCAGCTCCTCCTCCGCTGTGTCCATCTCCCTTTGTGGCCTTGTTTCCAGTGATCCCTGCCAAGATGCTGTGAGCAGGAACAGCTCCATGGATACTGTGGATGCACAGGTAAGGAGAAGGGAACAGCTCACAGTCAGCCCAACACACCACCCATGGGCAGCACAGGAGTTTGTAGAGGGAATTAACACTCAGACATGGAATCATTTAGGTTGGACAAGCCCTTCAAGATCATGGGGTCCAACCATCCCCCCAGTACTGCCAAGGCCACCCCAAATCATGTCCCCAAGTGCCATGTCTACACGAATTTTAAATTCCTCCAGAGATGGCGACTCCACCGCTGGAGCCTGTTCCAACACTCGAAAACCTGCTCCATGAAAGAATTTTCCCAGATATCCATGCTGAACCTCCTCTGGCACACATTGAGGCTGTTTCCTCTTGTCCTGTCCCTTGTTCCCTGAGAGCAGAAGCACAGCCCCACCTGGCTCCACCCTCCTGTCAAGGAGTTGTAGGGAATGAGAAGGTTCCCCTGATCCTCCTTTTCTCCAGGATGAGCCCTCCCTGCCCCAGCTCCCTCAGCTGCTCCTCATCCCATTTGTTCTCCGGGAAACCTCCGTGGGGTCACTCAAGAGCCCAAGGCCATGTATTCCCTCCCCAGAACATCCCTATGCTCATCCCTGATCTCGTCCCAGCTATTCCCCTTCCTTCCCCAGGACACCACGCACCGCTGGCCTCTGGTGATGATGTCTTTCCAGGAGTTTTCCTACCACTTCCGAGTTGCACAGCCGGTGAGTGTCACCAGCTGCTCCTCCTTCATCTTGCCTTGTGGGAGGAAAGAAGTGTGGGGTCATGGCAGGTTTGGCAGCCACGTGGCACTACCACTTCAGGTAGTGGAGGGATGATTTTTCCAGCCCGTAATCCAGGCAGAACTCCCTCCTTGGCATCCTGGCCCTGTCTGTAAGCTCCTTTTCCCATTCCTAGGGCCAAGCCGACTGCGGCACTTCCCCGGAGCAGCTGGGCCAGCTCTTCACTGACTATTACTTCCAGTTTTACTGGCTCTGTGAGTGATTCCCAGGAGCACCAGTGCCCTCTGCTTGGAGACAGGAGGGGGACTGGTGCCACTGGGGAGCCTCCTGCATTCCCCAGCCCCACCTCATCCCCGTGTCCTGCGGCAGCTCCGGAGCTGGAATGCTGGTGGCTGGTGACCTGGAGCACGCACAGGACCTAAAACCCATCACCTGCCCCGTGGTGGCTCCAGGGGTGACCTTGCGCCCATTCTCACCATCCCATGTCCCTCTCCTTTCCCTCATGGAGACCTGTGTGTCCTCCATCGCTTCTCCCTCCCCTTCCAACACTGGATTTGGAAGCATCACACTGGACTGAAGGCCACATCCCAAAGGGGTGCTCCTTCCATGGATCTCCCGGTGCTCCCAGATGTCCCACTTCAGTTCTTCACAACACTGGAATTGCTTCAACACTGGAGCCTTTTCCAAGGGGTTTGGCCTTTGGAAAGGAGGGCTGTGCCTGGACATACTGGAAGTCGTACACTGGAGTTGCTGTTCCTTCTAGTTGGCCCAGGGCCACTTCCCACAGACCCCCTGGAGGCCCCCAGACTTGCCAATGGACACATTCCCCTGGGAACAACCCAAGAAAGAGCAGCTTCCGCATCATTTCCCCCCTTCCCTTGTGCTCTTAAATCCCACCAGATCCAGGTCTGGATGGATAAAACTCCCACTAAAGCCGCTGCTGAGGCCACACCACACGTGGGAACACTTGGCATCAACCCAGGGGTGACAAATAACCGGGATTCTCCCATACTGAGTGTTGTGGGATCTGTTTTTATCCATTTGAAAGCAGCATGTGAAGCTGCCTGGTCGGCCCTCAAGCCAACACCAACCCCTGCCCAAATGTGCAGGACAGAGACTGCTGGAAAATCCTGGAGTGCCCTGCAGAGCAAGGCTGAGTCCCTGGGAACATGAGGATCTGTGCCAGGGTAGGATCTCTGCCTTGGGAGAGGGTGGTGGTCTCCCAAAAAATGGGAACGGCAGCGGCTCCAAGCTGTCCCTGCCCTCCCAGAGCACTTGTGTTGGGGGTATTTTGGAATATGTTACTGTTACAAGTCCTTAACTTGCTAAACTACTGAGTTCTTTGGGATTTTAAGCCGTAAAAAAAAAAAAAAAAAAAAAAAAAAAAAAAAAAAAAAAAAAAAAGAAAAAAAGAAAAAAAATGGGAATTTCATCCGGTCCCCATTGAGCCACGTGGGAAAGCCAAGTGGCTCCATGTGCATCCCCCTCCCCATCCCTCTGCAGCCCCTCATGCTAAAAAGGAGTTATCTGCCTTCCTGGAGTCTCAGCCACTTCCAGGTTATTCCAAGATGGATTTCCCTAAGGAAAACAGTGAGGGGGAAATGCCACATGCTGATCCTGTGGACACTTGAGAGCTGTTTCAGAAAAACAGGATGGTTTTTATCCAGGTAAAGTGATGGTTCCTGTGGATGTCTGGTTGTCTCTTGTCATCCACCTCCTGAGCTTATCCCAGCAAAGCAGTCCTAAAATTCCTTGTTGGAGTTGGTGATTTCCAGGTCGGGGGTTGAGGCCTGGAAGCAGCAAACACTGAATTACACAGTTATTAAAATCCACTGGATCCTGGGAAGCAGGAAATAGTGGGTGAGTAGGGAATTCTGAGCAGCCAAGCAATCAGAAAACCCAATTTTGGGAAGCTCAGTGGGACAACAAGACACCCCAAGGCTTGGGAATACCTGAGCACAAGGAGGTCAGCTCTGTGCTCAGCAGGATTCTCTGTTTCTCCCTCACATCCTGAAGGAAACACCTGGATGTAGCTTAGTGCTCTTCCCTCCACCCTCCCTGAGGGACTTTTCCTGGCTTTAAGCTGGGAAGTGAATTCCCTGGCAGGTTTTTTGTCCCCTTGGCAATCAATGGCCCAGGCTGGCACGTCCTTCCTCAGGTGAGTGATGCTGGGCTGGGATAAATGTCCCTTGGAAGAGGAAACAGGGAATGTTGGGAGGGCCAGAGCCTGCAATCACCCCCTCAGATCCCCTCTCCCTTATCCAAGACTTCACAGCACATCCCACCCCACTCCTGAGGGAAGGAATCAATCAGTGGTGGCCCAGGAGGAGTTGGGATCTCTTAGGTGTCCCCACGATGCTCATCCATGGGATTTAGTGGGATTCCCAGCAAACTAAGTGCCTGAGGGCTTGGAAACATCTCTGGGGCCTTTTTCCTTTTGAAACAGCCCCAGGGAACAGGGTTTTCCCCATGTATTTGTCAAAAACTGGGGCTTAACTGGGATGAGACAACTCCTGGAGTGCTGAGGCTGGCCCTGGCCACACGGAGCCAGCAGCAATCCCTGGGAGTGAGAGAGGACAGGGATTCAGGATGGAGTTTTTAGTGTCAATAGGATCTTATGTCTTAAGTGACACGGCTTTCCCAGATGAGCTGTGGATGCCCCATCCCTGGAAGCGTTCAAATCCAGGTTGGAGCAACCTGGGCCTAGTGGAAGGTGTCCCTACGCATGGAACTGGCTGGGCTTTAAGGTCCCTTTCCACCCAAACCATTCCAGGATTCCACGTTAAAAATCATCAGCTGCTGCCCCCTGAGGCAGAAATGGGTTTTATAATTATAAAATTAAAATCAAGGAGTGATGGAATTGCTTGTTAGGCCCGTGGAAACAGCTGTTTGTACGGATTTCTCCCCAAAACCCACATCTCTGCTCCTTCCCTGTCCCCAGTCAGTCCCAAGAGAGTTCACAATCAGGCGTTTCTATGCGTGGGACAGAGGGAATTCTGAGCTTCTGTCTCTTTATCCAGACATTCCTGGCAGGAAGGAAGACAAAAGGGTGGAAACTTGGGCTCTTTGGGAATTTGTTTCAAAAGCAAATTACCAACTCTTCTGTCCTGCTATTGGAGCTTAAAGCCTGTAAATAGAGACTATGGTACCACTGGAAGACTTAAGGAAAAAAACCATCAAGTAAAGCACTAATTTGTTGGTTTAAATGTTGCTGCCACAGCTTTAATCACTGTATTTTGCCAGCCAGTTTGTAGAGTTGCATTTGTAGCAGGTTATTCTTGATTCCTGGTTTTTATTTGTGGGGAACAAACATGGTTTCCCTCTTTTCTTCCTGATTTATATTTATATTTTGCTGAATTTTGAGGGGTTGAGTCTCTGAATTCCCCCTTTTTTATTTTTTTTTTAAATTTTATTTTAGTTTTGTTTGGTTTGGTTTGGCTTATTTAGAGTTTGTTTTATGCTGGAGGTAAATGTACCCATATGAATAAAATATATAAATACTGCTTTGTATCCAAGAATGGCCCCTGGTGCTTTCCTGCCTTCCCAGGGAATAATAGCAGGACAGAGGACATGTTCTGCCTTTAATCAATGGAAGTTTCTGGATGTGCCCAAACAGGGTCCAGTCAGGGTTGTTGGGGATAAAAAGGAGAAATTAGGAAGGGAAAAGAAATTAGGGAGAAGGAAAAAAATGGAGAAGGGAAAATGGAAAATGAAAAAGGAAGGTTAAAGAAAAGAAGGGAAAGGGGAAAAGACAGGTGGGAAAGAGAAAAAGGAAGAAGGAAAAAGGACAAAAAAAGGAGAAAGGAAAAGGAAAAAAAATAAGAAAAAAGAGAAAAGGAAAAAAGGAGAAAGGAAGGAAAAAGGAAAAAAGGAGAAAGGAAGGAAAAAGGAAAAAAGGAGAAAG